GGCAATTTTCAATATAATAAGTGTGTTTGATAGTCTCACCTTTATCTACCCAGGTCGATCAATCCGATAGTCGGATCCGATAGGTGTCCTACAGGTATCCGATAGGTGTCCTACAGGTATCCGATAGGATAGTATCAGATCCGACAGGAATCCGTGAAACGGAATCACGTCGGGTCCCGTCAGTAGTCGGATCCGATCGGATCCTATAAGAGAGCCGACAGTTGGATCCGATCGGATCCTATAAGAGATCCGACAGTTGGATCCGATAGTATCGCAAGATCGTTATCTAGTACTAATAAAATGAATGCTAATAAAATTTGCAGCAATTAAGATTCATCCGACGGGAATCCGACGTGATTCCGTTCCACGGATTCCTGTAGGATTTTGTCGGTTGGTCGGATCTTACAAGATCCTATGAGATCCGGTATCGGATTGATGGACCTGGGTACTTAATGTAGAAGAACAGTATCACTTGATTTAAAGAAAAAACAAAACGGTTTTGAGTCCAAGTGTATTTCGACGAACAACCGTGCATGACTGTTCATTCTCACTAGGGTGGGGTGTGGGTGTGAGTGTGGGGGACTAGGTTCTGTGTCTCCACATTCACACCCACACTCACACCCACACCCCACACACACACCCCACACCCAGCCACATCCACACCTACACACCCACACCCACACCCCACCCTTTGCGCTCGTCAAATAAGATGAAAGTTATCTATAGTGTACCTCTAGATGACAGAAACGCACATCATTTCACTTATAGTCCATTTCAGAGTTAAATGTCTTTGAGTATTTTTTGAATAACTTTTAATTGGCTCAGGCTATCGAGCTCGGAATTTCAGCATTGGAAAGAACGATCTCTGAGACATCTATCTATATAATATTCACTAGGACCAAAGATACTTTTTCAAACTATTTGTGCATCGTTATGTTTTTCGTTCCATATTTTAATAAATTTTTATGATAATCTAACTTGAAAATATACTAAATTTTAGTCCAAATTGTCCTGATATATTCTGCAGAAATTGCTAAAACTTAAAACAATCTCATTGACGAAAGAGATCATTTAAACACGATAGAAATGGTGAAAGTTATCCTATGTATAGATGACAATTTGGACTAAAATTTGGTATATTTTCAGGTTAGGTTATCATAAAAATTTATTAAAATATGGAACGAAAAACATAATGATGCACAAATAGTTTGAAAAAATGTCTTTGATCCTAATGAATGTTATATAGATAGATGCATCGGAGATCGCTCTTTCTAATACTAAAACTTCGAGCTCGATAGCCTGAGTCAATTAAAAGTTATTCAAAAACTGCCCACGGCCATTAAACTCTGAAATGGATCATAGTCCTTTTTTTCTTAGCCGCCATGGTTGAGTGGTTAGGTTGTTCGACACGCACCCACAAGGTACTGTGTTCAAACCTCAGTATCATCATCGATGGAATGACCCTGGACAAGTCACTAACGGCTAAGTTGTCTCAAATGACTCATTCCACATGAGTCATCCGTACCGACTACATCATTAGTCTGTATGTTGGACGGAAGAGGGTGCAGATACCGCCGTCTGTAAAAAGAAAAAGAGGAAAGAACCCGGCTGCATGTGGAGATTAATAATAACCGCGGCCGGCCCCAACGGGCGATAAGCCTATGGGACGTTATTTTTTTTTTTATTTATTTTTTTCTTGCCTCTTTCTGCAATTCCTTTGCCATATATAAAATTCTTCCGCTTATTTGACGGCATGAATAAGTAGAAGTAGACGACAAAGATCGGTCAGTTTTTAGCCGAATGCTTCGTCTTTCATTTCATAACATATCGAATGTTGCCTATGGATTCATAGGATATACACTGTTTCGAAGCCAAGCAACTATTCAAAATATATGCTCATAGAAATATCCTTTTTAGATTATGTCAATATACCTATTTATTTTAGCGATTGGTTTTAGGGTATATATAGGGCTACAGCTCTTGTAAAAACAGCAGATGAAATCGTCTAATTTGCGTTTTCATCATAGTTTGATACAAGTATGAAATTACCGTATGAAGGATTTTACCTGGCTTCCACTTTATCATGAAGAAAGACTCATAACCAAACTCGAGGGTGAGGGACCAATAGAACTATTTCTTTCGTTGTATATAGTAAATATTCATCTCCCTGTTTCTTTTTAAGCAAATTCGATCACTATAAATCAACGAGATAAAAAGGCGTACGTGCAATTTCATTTTTGACAACATTGAACTTAAATGCAACAAACACCGTCAGTGATTTTTTACGATCCTCATCGACAACATGTTGATTCATGTCTGCAAGGACCTTTCTTTGTTTTCAACCTGGATGATCTGTTATCAACGATGACATCATTGGATACTCATCTTCAACGAGCAGTGTGTGTATGTTCTACGGACACAGCAACTATATTGGAAAACATTCAGGATCTTGATCAACTCGTTTCGGTTTACGTCTGCATAGAGCATTGGAATCGGGTCGATCAAAATTGACTTATCAATCGTTGCAGAGTCAAAGAAGTAAATTTTAAAAATCCACTGATATGGCTCGTAGATATTCATCTAGAATTATCTCTTGCCACTGGACATAAGGGTCACGTCGAACAAGAAAATATGGAGAGACAAAATGCTATTTAATGCATTCAACAAAGTGCCTTTAATCCCCATCAATCTGTGGAAGAAGAATCAATTTTAGCACGTGAAGTGGAATGATCAAATAATAATCATATATATTAATCAAGAATGCATTGCTTTCTTCTTGGATGAACGAAAACCATTGATAAGAATGATAAAATGCTTACTCTTTTTTTTAAAATTTACATTACTGCTAAAAATTATAAGAATAAACAGGTTTTCATGATTCATCGCATACTAATGGAAGCAAAACTTTTCTTCAGGATATACCATTCGAAAGCGACAATTTTCTTGATGATGAGAGTTCGGGTTAGTATCCTGGAAAGAAAGTCACAGTTATTTTCGATCTTTCTCAAGAGTCTTACCAGGTAGCTTTAGTTCTGCATTGTCTCATTCATCAGAACTGAAAGGAAAAATATCTTCAATATCCATCTTGAGAATGTAAGATAAGTAGCATATTCTAAAAAAAGGGTGTGGGTGTGGGTGTGGATGTGGGTATGGGTCAAGAGAAAAACTGCACTCCACCCTCACACCCACACCCACGCTCCCACACTCACACCCACACTCTCACACCCACACCCTCACACCCACACCCACACCCACACTCACACATAAAGATGTGCTCGTGATAGAAAATAGAGATGAACAACCGATGGATGTGTTTCATCCATGACGAACAGTTTAAAATTGCACATAATGCGAAATAGCGCGAACAAGTTTCATCCCACCTATTCATCTATTAGGTTACCTAGAAAAGTTTCGAATATCCAACGATATGTAAAAGCTGATACGAAAAATTTCAAGTTAGTCGTCAAGGTATTTTCGTGACGGCGATAATTTTCCAGCAATAGAACGTTGGAGAATCCATCGAGGTCTTAAGGGAGCTGCGGCGACTTTCAGACTACTAATAAATCTATTGTTGAGACAGCGAACACTTTTGAACCTGAAATGAATGTTTGAGAGTGTGGGTGTGGGTGTGAAATGAACAGTTTCAAACTCATACCCACATCCATATCCATATCCCCGTGGCACGATATTTCCGCGCGTGACATTTGCGCGCCGACACTAGCGCGCCGATACTACCGCGCACGACACTAGCGCACACGACTCTTGCGCGCATTAGCACTTGAGCGCATTGACATTATCGCGCACGACACTTCAGCGGACGACAAATACGCGCAATTTTTTTTGTTCTCTTTATATATCACGTGTACAGCCCCTTACACACTTCACAACTATTTCTCTATGCAAAAATGTATTTTGAAAATGCAGTTAAACATAAATAAAAAGAAGTATAGTTGAATAATATTTATTGACAAATAAATTAATGAGAACAAAAAAAAAGAAAATCCAAAAATAACAGTTAGGGAATAACATATTCAAAAGTTAAACATAGATCTGGTCATTTTGAAGTAGTCATCACGTGAAACATTATGAAATTCTTTTATCATACTTTTTATTCGCTCATCGACTTTGTCGTACTTTTTTCGTTTATTTGGAGTTTGTGTGCCAGCAAGAACTTGATTCCAAGTTACAGTTGCATTGTGTTCTTCTCTTTTGATATCGTTAATGAATTTGTAGAAACTTGGATGATCACCAACAACATTCTACATTAGAAACAAACAATAGTAAAGTGGATAAAATTTGAATTATACATACATGAAAGGCATTATGTCATCCTTCGACAGCATTATTAGTACGTGGCAAATCTAAATGAACTCTTGAAAAACAGTTCCACATGGATATACTAAACCGAGGAGTCTTCCGACGATTTCTAGACATTGCACGGCCTATGAAATTGTCTTCAAAATATACGAATAGCTCTATAAAGTAAGAATTTTCGATTAAATATTTAAATACTTATGCAAAAATTTATTTACCATCTAATACATTTTCTTTTATTCGAACGAATTCTTCAATAACATTTTGTGGTGGAATGAATGCAAGAGCAGCTAAATTTTTCATTGTTCGACGACTAACATCATTTTCAAGAAATTCTTTTTTCAAATGTAGTTCCTGCAAAAAAAATCAAAACATTTATCAACTGTAAGGAAAACTCATATAACTCATTATGAATGAAATAAACTTACACAAATATGTCTCCAGATACACTGTTTGAAATGAAAGAAACAGCCAAATATTTCACATTGAGGATATATAACACCAAATGCATTTTCAGCTGCTTTTTCAAAATCGATTGAAATGTACTTTGGTTTACGAGTAACATGTTGTTTGACAATTTTGAATAATTCTTCATAAGTTTCCTGATCTTTATTAGGTAAAAGTGAGTAAACCAATGGTAAGCTTTTTCCACGTATTGAACCATAGACGGAATACATTTGTTCAAACATTTTAGGAGCAACCTATAAATGGAAGATTTCGTTTGAAATTTCGAATATATTTCAAATACTTACAGCAAATGTACCATCACAATGCCAACTCTCACATTGATTTAAAAAATCCAATTGTTCTTTGCTAGCAAATATCAATAATCGACGATTATCATCATTATTATCATATAAAATAAATTTTTGATTCGTAATAGTAATTTGAAAATTTAATGGAATAACAATATCGGCGAATGTTTTAGGTTCATGATGGAATATTATCATCTCATCGAATACGTTGAATAACACGTTGCGATGCATTGTATTGAGGATTAGTAATAGCAGCATCTGAAGATAATTTAAATCGAGCTTCGTGTATTATTAATCTTGGTGAATCATGACATTTTGCGGCTTTCGTCCTAATTTCATAATTAAATAAAGCTTTCTCAATTTCATCTGGATCTGG